TAAATTCCCTGAGTGCATAAATCATTTTATACTTTGTAATATCATCCATCCTGCCAACACCTGGGTTTTAGAACAGCAGCAGCACAGAGTGCTTTACAAAATGGAATGGAAGGTTTCAATGCTACATGCTAACTGGTAAGAAGAGACATCACAGTCTTTCAAGTATGCCTTCTTCAAGGCAGTGGGGGTGTATGTTTGCAACTTACACAAACTTTATCCTAGTGAGGAATACAGGATGGCTAACAATAACAAGAACTAACGGTCGCCCAGCATTTTATTAAGTCTTGGCACTGTGCTAAGTGGATTCCCTGCTTGTAGACAGGACTGAAATAAACATTCTGAACCCCTGGAGGAACTTCCTACATCTGTTCCCCAGTTCAGCCTGGATGACCAATCGGTGGCCAGCCTGGGTTTCCTTACAAGTGCTGAAAGGGAGTCTCCGAGTCCTGCTCACCCAAAGAGCAAGCGGACACCAGTCTGCTGGATGTCTGCTGTTCAGAGCACACGGGCAGGGCTCTGGTTACTGACTAGCGAAGGCGTGCACATGCGAGGGGACTGCATTTGATTGAATTCAACTGCTCAGCCTGGAATTAATCAAATGTTTCTGTACAGGCCAGAAAGGACCTCACACCATCACAGCTTTTGTTTTTCTTCGTAAGCCACAGGAATTACTAAAGAAGATCCATAGACTACTGATTCTACGTGATTTCAAATCTGGTAGAAAAAAAAGCAAACAGTTCTTTGGAGAGAGAACAGAGCGTTCAATACAGAAACCTCTCTCCCTTCCTGGGTCCAGGACATCTGCTATCTGCTGCAAGCTGTGGATCATAATTATTGATAGTATTTGACTTTGCATTCATCATGTTAATCTCCATTTATTATGTAGCGCATTGCCAAAACAAAACAAAACTCTATAACTTTCAGCTTTAACCCAGAGGAAGGAACAAAAGGTCAGTTTAAATGAGTCTACATCCAATTTTCACTTGAGAAAATCTAAAGCACAAATCTTTCCTAAATATACCGGGTAGGTACATCTCCAGATTCATTACTAAAAAATGCTACATTAACATAACTATTTCAGGCGAATGACTTTAGAGAGAAAGGAAGGAATGCCAAAAATGAAAATGTCTCTTTGGAAAGTTGGTTGAGCTGGCTGAGCATTGCTCCATAGGCACAGTGGTACTTAGAGCAACGCGCTTAATGAAATTACACCAGGCCAGTGGTTCTGTGAATCCCAATGGAAATGCACATAGTAAGAACACGATTCTTACAGAGCTTTGTAGTTTACCTACAGCCTTCAAACACAGCATGGCATTCAGTCTCATGAGCCACCCCTGTGTAGTAAGTAAGGTCACTCTCACCCTCCAGCTAAGGACCTGAAGTGCAAGGAGATTAAAGGGCAGGCCTGTAATCAGAGTGAAAGTCCTCAGGATGTGCTCTGAGCCTGTACTGCAGAGCATCACTGTGCCAGGCACCAAGGAAAGCGTTTCACAGCAGGTTTTGAAAGTCCTTGAAACAATCCTGCTCCCTGAGCTCTGAAGGTCAGAGAGTTCAATAACTTTCCAAAGTTCACGAAACTGGTGAAGCTGTCTGATGTAGTCTATGTTTTCCTGTTGCTCAGGAAGTACAGCAAAAGGATTTGAAACGTAAGACTTCTAACTCAAATCTTACCTCCTCCATGAAGCACTCCTTGACCTTTACTCTCCCTAACTTCATGAGCAAAACTTTACTACCATAATCATTGTTATATATATATAACATACTCTTTTGTTATATATATATCCTATATAGTAAAAGGCCAGCAACCATAATGGTGTAATGACCAGAACGACTGATGGACTAGTTGCTATGAAATGCATTGACCACTTCTAGGTCCCTCTCCACAGCTTGCAGGCTCCAATCACTGGATTGCCAGTGGGGAACCACGGGGAACTGGGGTGGTGTTGGCAGTGGGGACTGCCTGTTCACTGGAGACTGGTGAACAGGCAGAACGGCCAACCTCTTGGCCCCTCCCCCGAGCCCTGCAGGCTCAGATCAGGGTGAAGAGGGAACCAGGAGGATCTGGGGTAGGTGGCAGCAGGGCGGAACTGGTGACTGGCAAGCAGGTGGAAGGCCTACCTCTTGTTCCCTCACCCTTGCCTGTAGGCTCCAATTGCAGGATGAACAGGAAATCATGGGGAACCAGGGTGGGTGATGGCAGGGTGGGACTGAGGACTTGCGAGTGGGGGGAAGTTGGCCCTGATTGCAGGCTAGGACTAGGGACCCTACCTGCGCATGATTTTGTGATTGGGACTCTAGTATATACATACAAATATGTGTGTGTGTGTGTGTGTGTGTGTGTGTGTGTGTGTGTGTGTGAGTAATTTTAATTTCATCTTTCCTTGGGTCCCCTGAAAAAATTGGAACATACCTTATTCATTAGATCTTGTTTGTAAACAGCTGGGCACAACATATGCTTGGTGAGAGATCAAATGAATAAACAATATCCAGTGTTTTCTTACCATGTGTGCCTGAGAATTACGAAGTATACTATATATATATTTAGCATAGGCGATTTAAAAAGTTGCTCTAAAATGACATTCCTAGCACAAATCTATCGCAAAAAACATAGAAATTAGAAATATGATTAAGACTCTTATGAAGTAAGATAGGCCAAATTGTGAGAGTACAATATTTTCTTAACATTCATGTGCACACTTTTTAAAAAGCTATAAAAAAAAAAAAAGACAGCTTTAGTTACAGGAGTCTAGAAATTCTCTGGGCATAATGTACAGTCTACATTCTTCACATCCCACCTCAGTTCTTCCCTGTGACACTCACACTTGCTTTGTTTTCCATTGAAAGTGCGCTTCTGCAGTGTCTATTATCATAAGGAGGATGTTCAGCTCACTGTTAATGATCAAGGGCTAATGAAATCAAGGTGGAAGGTGCAGAATCCAACGAGGTAGCTCAGATTCACAGGGGCTCTGACATGTAAAGATGTTTGTGTCCTCAACCTCTTTACTGGGACTTTTTTCTTTTTGCCACTATTCTCTCTCTCTGAACTTTCTGAAGTATCAGAATTCATTTCTCTGTCACCGTATCACACGGGGCACTTTGTTATAGCGAGAAAGCGAATCAGGAGGGACTTCCCAGCACAGCTCAGGCGTTCGCCAAGTGCACCAGCAGTTTTCCCTACCGAATGGGGCTCTGAAAAGTTGGGCCAGGCTCCAAATCTCTGAGACCTCTTCAGGTTCAGGCAGGCCTCACTCACTGACAGATAAAGACCCCTGTTTTTTTAATGAAACACAATTCAAATCCTGATTCAACACTGTTAGAATGCTTTTTTTTTTTTTTAAGTATATTTTATTGATTTTTCTTACAGAGAGGAAGGGAGAGAGATAGAGAGCTAGAAACGTCAATAAGAGAGAAACATCGACCAGCTGCCTCTTGCACACCCCCCACCGGGGTTGTGCCCGCAACCAATGTACATGCCCTTGATTGGAATCGAACCTGGGACTGACCCTTCAGTCCGCAGACCGAAGCTCTACCGCTGAGCCAAACCTGTTTCGGCAACACTGTTAGAATGTTAAACTCTGCTTAACAAAATGACTGACTCACTCATAATTAGAGACAATCAATGGTTTCCAAAATACTTGGCATTCTCATCAAATTATGTTAACGGGAACTTCACATTTATAAAATGCCTGGGGTCAGTTGTGTGTTTCTACTTTAACAAACACAGGCAGGAGAAATAACTATTGTACCAATACGATCAGCAGTTTGTTTGGAAAGCTAAATGTATCCACACCAACAAATACCAACCTACCCTAACTTTTCACTTTTCCAGGGTGAGAGAGCAATAGTATCTATTTTTTACATTCTTCTAAATTTCAATTAATTAAAACTTTATCCATCACAACTCTCACTGAGTGTTTTACTTTCCTGAGTTAAGATCTAGAAGAGGCAAAACACAAGAAAGCCACCAACTGAGATTCGCTCTATAAAGTATCTTCCAGTCTATGTACTTGTAAAGTATCTTCCAGTCTATGTACTTGTCTCGGAATGCATTCAAACAAATTCCACTCTGGTCCTTTATGATTCTTATTCAAAAATTTTCCCCCCATTACACTCTCTAGAAATGTTTTGAGCAAAAGACCATAAAATTAAATGTTTATATACTTTGTGTAGAGATTGAGACACCAGAAGTCCTTCTAAACACTGACACTTCATTGATGGGTAGATATAGGAATCACAAGAAACTACAGGCTTAAAAGTAAGACTTTAAGAAGACCTTACAGCAAGCTGGAGGTTAAGCAAGGAGGAAGTTCTAAGAAGGAGGGGTGTCACAGATAGCTCATTCATAGCCACATTACTTTCTCCTAAGAAACAGAAACAGAAAGTCTGAAAGTCTGTAGTTGGCCCTCTCAGTATCCTGGAATCATTTTCTCTCTCTCTCTCTCTCTCTCTCTCTCTCTCTCTCTCTCTCTCTCTCTCTCTCTCTCTCTCTCTCTCTCTCTCTCTTTCTCTCTTTATATATACATATATTTGAGGAAGAGGGAGGGAGAGAGAGAGATAGAAACATCAATGATGACAGAGATTCTCTGATCGACTGCCTCCTACACGCCCCACACTGGGGGTGGAGCCTGCAATCTAGACATCTGCCCTGATCAGAAAGGGAACCATGACCTCCTGGTTCATAGATCGACCCGCAACCACTGAGTCACACCGACTGGGCCTTTTTTTTTTCTTCTTTTGAATAAAACAAATACAAGGCTTTCCACAAAAGCCTCTAATTTTTATTAGATCACTTCGCCTTGTTATCAGTTGAAATGTAAATATACCATATAGTAGAATGCATAGCTTTTCAGAAACTCCCCCTTTGAGAGGAGGATACTGTCCACATGAAATAAATAAATAAATAAGGGGATAAATAAAATAGTGTAAGTAAGCAAGTGTCAGGCTGATATATTTAAAAGCTGGCCTACCAATTGTAAAGAGTCATATGAGCATGCGCTTACCTGTTTTGATATTGATGGCAAAAAAATTCTGAGGATTCCCACTTGTAATCCTGTATGTCAACTTTTCATTGGAACTGGAGTCAGGATCCTCAGCCTGAATCTGAATGACAGATACATCCTTGGGAGAGTTTTCCATGACGACAGGATAATAAATAGGTTCCGAGGTCAGCGGGGCATTGTCATTCACGTCCTCAATTTCAATGTAGACCTCAATAGTGGAATAGAGGGGAACCACGCCCCGGTCCGTGGCATACACTGTCAGCCAGTAGGACCCTGTTGTCTCTCGGTCCAGGATGTCTGCAGTAGAGATGACTCCTAGGAGGAAACAGAGAGCATGATTGCTACCGTGAAATTGAAGGACATTCAGTAAATCATCCCAAATTCATGAGGGCTGTGCTAAGTAATGTTGGCATATAAAAAGAAACCCATAATACAGGATTACATTAAGATGTTTCCGCCTTACACAAGAAAACTATTTCCTGCAAAACCATACTAATGAGTACTTCTACCATTTGAGGGTTATAAATAAATTCACAAATGCTTTCTTTGCGTTTTGGGGATAGACAGACTCTCACTACATGGGCTGAGGGACACCCTCCCACCCCAAATTGCTTCACAGTTGGAAGCAATGGGAAGAGAGTGGGGCAGAGGTCAAAATACTTCCCATGTTGCCCGGGGAATTAGAACAATATCAGGTTAATGTCTCCATGTGATTTCCTATGTGGCAAAAGCTCTCTCAAGGCAAATGATTTTATGTGCTCATTCACAAAAATCTAAAAAAGACCTTTCAAATACGCTTTTGCCGATTAGGATACAAATAATTTGCATGCAAATATGTCAGCCTTTTTTCATACAGTTTCCCTAAAACTCTAATGTCACAGTTATTGCAAACAATCAGGGAAGACACCGTACCAACACACTGTCTGAATGAGCTCCAGGCCCCCAAAGAACACTACGGGAAGCCATAAATAAACTCTGAGCCACTTTGAGAGACACTTATGGATGATTATTCAAAATTAGGACCAGATAAATGCCCAATCTTCTCCCTCCCACCTTTTCTCATTTTATGGATGAAACAAGTGCCAACAGGAAGTGAGGCATTTGCCAGAAAAGCCAGATACAGTGCTATGCAGTGTCTCTACAGCCCTCACCCTCATCAACTGGCTCAGAAACAGGACAGGGACAGGACTGCGCGCATTTCCACTGTGGTGGGGAAGAAACAAAAACCTGGGGCTCAGCTTACAAAACCTCTAAGCAGTTAGGATACTCATGCATGGAATTCATGTTATAACCTAGTCAAAAATAGTCCTTCAATTCTGATCCAAAAACTCTATCTTCTGTATATCTGTCAAACTCTGGACAAACCATTTTAAGCACATACAGACCCTACATAAGCAGATTGACAAGTATAGCAACTGAGAGGGAGGAGGGCGTCTGTCCAGAAACAATTAGGATGAAATTCTCAGTTGCCGAAATCTCAGAACTGCTAAACTCTTCAAAGGAGATAACCTTACTGATGCTGACCTTTCAAATCCAAAGTTAGCCACTAAAGAAGCCTTCACAAGCAATGTTAGCCATCCGACAAAAGATAAGCTTAAATATTCTCAATGAGAATATATACAGCACAGGGTTCCTGTAGATTCATAGATGATTCCCGAAAGTCTAATGCTAATATGGCATTAGAAGATTAAATATTGAATACTAGATACAAGATTAAGAAGAAAAACAGGGGAAAAATATAATGATTGCCCTGGCCAGTGTGGCTCAGTAGGTTGGAAGTTCATTCTATAAACCACAAAGTTTCCTATTTGATTCCTGGTCAGGGCACATACCCAGGTTTCAAGTTTGATCACCAGTCTGGGCGCAGCAGGAGGCAACCAATGGATTAAAAATGAATGATTGCAAACATGTAGCTATGTGTCTGAATAAATAACAGGCAGCCTTATCAGCTGGGTTGAGAGGTACAGTAGAATGTCAACATGACATTAAGGTCTAGAGAAGGAGACCTGGGCAGGTATGAGAAGATCTGTGAATACAGGGCACATGCCCATCACAAATCCATGGCCAGCTTAGCAGAACGCTCGAAGCAGTCCCAACTATGGGCCACCACACAGACCTGGGTTGTGCTACCACCCAGGGGAACTGGAGCTCTTCACCATCAGAGGATGTTCAAGTGATGGAGATGAAGTGGTATCTGGACTGAAGACAAAGAGTAGACAGGGAGAATCTGGGATGTGGGACACTGGTTGTAAAAAATTATCTGAAAGTGCTGGAAATACCTCTTGAAGACAGTTGTAAATCCTATATAATAAAAGCCTAATATGCAAATCGACTGTACTGTAGAACAACTGGGTCGCTATGATGCACACTGACCACCAGAGGGCAGACGCTTAATGCAGGAGCTGCCCCTGGTGGTCAGAGCTCACCCACAGGGGGAGCACCACTCAGCTAGAAGCCAGGCTCATGGCTGGTGAGCACAGCAGTAGTAGTGGGAGCCTCTCCTGCCTCTGTGGCAGCACTAAGGATGTCTGACTGCTGGAGTGGGCCTAAGCTGGAAGTCGGACATCCCCTAAGGATTCCCAGACTGTGAGAGGGTGCAAGCTGGGCTGAGGGACACCCTCCCACCACAAGTGCACACATTTTGTGCACTGGCCCTCTAATTTGATTCATGAACATCTACTGGACCCTGAGCTGGGCACTGGAGGGACAGAGATAAGTGAGAGAGCATCTCTGTCTTCAAGATACTCAGAACCTTTCCGAGTAGACAGATCTTGAACTAGGAGAGCTGCACTGAGTGGATAACTGCACAGCCAACAGCTGAACTCAGACTCATGTGCTTGAGACTGACAGGCTGGGAAGGCAAAGGATCTGAAACCAGAAGGGGTTGGGAGGCAAGTGGAACAGAGTTTACTGAGCATCTATGATGTTCTATGAGACTTGCAACACAACTTCTCTCTATAATTAAATATTATAATTCTTTTTTATAGATGAAGACATTAAGTCTCAAACTCAAGTTAAGTAACTTACCCAAGGTTCCACAGCTATTTGTAGAAATACCCAGTCTGCCTGCCTCGAATACTCTAGTTTCAAATCCAGACTCTATTACTTACTACCTGTTTGACCCTGGACAATGTATTTAAACTAAAAAAGCCTAATTTTATTACCCATATTTCAGTTGTAGTGATCAGATCATGGAATTAAATGTATCCTAAGACTTTGGCCAAATGCTTGCAGCATCGTAGATGCTGAGTATAAGATAAACCAATGTGAATCAAAAGCAATACAAAAAGCCTGGTAAATACTAACCACACCACAAAGTAAGGGACAATCTTGAAGGGAGAGAACTTGGGGATATACTATCTTGTGAGATAATTTATTTCTTCTCTGGTCATGGGGCATTTTTGCAGATTTTGTGACTTGCCCATGACATATCCTTTCTAAAAACTATCTGGCATGCTTGGAAAACAGAAAAGTAAGGCCACTAAAAAGAAAAAAAAATTGTCTCAATTAACAACAACTTGAAAGAAGTTGGTGTGGTTTGTACATTTCCTGACCACCCACAACACAGGCCCTCATGTGCACTCACATGCACCCAGATTTGCCTTCACAGAGTTGCTCTGTGATTCCTGTGATTCCTTAATTCTCGTTCATTTCAGCTGTTAGAGAGGAAGATGGTCTATCACAGACTTTGGACACTAAATGACTTGGAGAAGTCCTTGATGAAGGCATCCACTAATGTGAATTAAATCATATGGTTGTATTTTACTGTATTTTTAAAGGAAGGATAGAAATGCCATCTAGAAATCAGAATTCACTCTCTTATTAAGATAAAACCATGTGTATGGCTATATTTACTCATTAACTAGAAGTGTGAATGAGTACCGTGGAACACAGTGTTCTGACATCCATCTCATGATCCAAAAATTTGAGGACAGATTTAAAAGAGTGACTGAAATGTGTTAACAGTGATTGCAAGATTCAACTCAGGCTCCGTATTAACCATATGACTACTACCAACATCCACTGATAGCATTTCCTCACTTTTTTCTATGTCCTCACAGCTAGCTATGATCTGCATGGTCACAACTGAAAATGTAAATCCACGTGATTTACCATCAAGCAAAGACTCAACATCAAGGTTGATCAAGGTTGCCCAAATCATGTAATGAGCCCTTAGATTTGTGACAACCACCGGGCATTCTTTATTCCTTTTTAAAATTGAGACATAACTGACATATAATAAACTACACGTTTAAATAATTTTACAGGTTATGATATCCTGAAACCATTAAAACAAGCTAACAAACAAAACCACTAGTCCTAAAAGTATCCTCCTCCTCATTTTTAATCTCAATTGTAAATGTTCCTAATTCTCCTTATTGCCAGATTACCTTTCTGTCACTAGATTTGGAATTTTCTTCAATTTTATAGAAATGAGTCATACAGACATACTTTTATTGTTTGGCTTCTTTCAGTTAGATTAACTTTTTTGAGATTCACTTCTGTTGTATTTGCTCTGTGGGGCAAAGGTAGCCTATGGAAAATAATACAATCCTATCTAAGAAAAGAGTAATATGCAAATATACCATCACTCCAACACACAAAATGTCCACCCCTGTGTGGTCAAAGATGGCTTCCCCAATGTGGACACACGATGGCCTGCAGGGGAGGGCAGTTGTGGGTGATCAGACCAGCAGGGGAGGGCAGTTAGGGGTAACCAGGCTGGCAGAAGAGGGCAGTTGGGGGCAATCAGGCCTACAAGCAGGGGAGGGCAGTTGGGAGGAACCAGGCCTGCAGGGGAGGGCAACTGTGGGGGGACTAGGCCTGCAGGCGTCAGCAGTTAGGGGCGACCATGCCTGCAGGGGAGGACAGTTATGGGCGACCAGGCCTGCAGGAAAAGATAGTTAGGGGTAACCAGGCTGGCAGGGAAGAGCAGTTAGGGAGTGACCAGGCCAGCAGGGCAGGGCAGTTAGGGATAATTGAGATGGCAGGTGAGCAGTTAGGCGTTGACCAGGCTGGCAGGGGAGTAGTCAGGGGGCGATCAGGTTGATAGACAGAAGCAGTTAGGGGTAATCAGGCAAGCAGACAGGCAAGCAGTTGGGAGCCAGTAGTCCTGGATTGTGAGAGGAATGTCCAACTGTCCGACTGGAATTGGGCCTAAATGGGCAGTCGGACATCCCTTGAAGGGCCCCAGATTGGAAAGGGTGCAGGCTAGGCTGAGGGACACACACACAAACACACACACACACACACACACCTACCTGTGCACAAATTTTGTGCATTAGGCCTCTAGTAAACAATAATGTAGGAATAAA